CAATCTCAAATTTCTTTATTGAAAAAACTGCCAAAGGGAATTGCTGTTTGTTTGCTAACAAGCTTTGTATATAGAAAACCAACAAGGACTACGTTATAGTTAGGCTACAATACAATAGCAGAGTTGGAAGGGACCTTGAAGGTCTTCTAGTCCAACCCCCTGCCTAGGCAGGAAACCTTATACCGTTTCAGACAAATGGCTATCCAACATCATCTTATGATTTTCATATGTTGTGTTATAATGGAGTGCCTCCAAATGTTGATAGCAGAACTGCAACTAATGCTTGGTTTTGATCCTTCTGGGTCAGGTTTTGTTTAAAAATATCAGGCACAATGCTGATTTGAAATGAAAAAGTAAATTGGTAAATTGGTTAACATTGGGATTCTGATCCTAATGTTCTGTAGTTTGAAAAAGTGACATATTGAAGAGAACAGAGATATTCCTCCCATTAGGCAAATAGTGGTGTTGCTTGATAGAACTCCAGGAAATTCAGGAGCAGTAAATCTATCACTTATGTCAAGTGTGTTCAGATAAATCTGGTTAAAAAGCATTTTGTTGGAGAAAAATATTTCTAGATATTCTAGCTTGGCCTTGTGTTTATGTGAAATGAGCTGCAACAATAAGCACTCAACTTTTCACCCTAATGTAAGCATCTGGATGCTGAAGAAGGACCAATTACGTCCTACTTAATTCACAGAATTCTGTGGCTTCTTTTATAAACTTAATTCATTGTATATTTCAATTTGTTCAACTTTTGGAAAGATAACTTCTATCTATTACCCTGCTTAACTACTGAAGTAGATAATGCTGATGCAAAGAAATTCAGTATAAAGAACACACTGCAAAAAGCCCTCTTCTTTGGTTATAAGATACTTTGTCTATCTGTTGATAGCAACTGTACTATACTATCTTTTAGAACCATTATTTTGATAAGTATCTGCTTGATGACATTGTAATTGGATCTTAAAGAAATTAAATGCTGGTGGTTTTGATCCCTAGATCTAGATGGTAAAAAGGTGGTACAATATTGTATGCCAGGCCTATCAAACTGGCGCCTATAGGTCGGATGTGTCACGCGCAGGCCATGCCCACCCCAGCTCTGCAAAGGCAAAAAACTTCATGTCACATGACACGATTGACTTTGACACCCGTGCTGCATGCTGTCCCTCAGAAGTTTGGGACATATTAATAGCTTTCGTCTTGCTATTCATGAACCTTTTTTCCAGTCAATATTGTAAGATCTAGATCAGTATTTCTAAACCTCAACCCAGCATGCTGGTTCTGAGAATTGTGGTTATTCCAGTCAACACATCTTAAAATTGCTGAAGTTGAGAAACCCTGATGTATATTTTGTGTGTGTGTGGATAGGATAATCATGGCATTTTTGTCTGCCTTTTCCCATATCACGAGGCTTGCCTTTGTTCTCCACTTCTTTTGTATTTCCAGTCTCATGAATTGTTCTCTCCTTTTCAAGGCTTTTGAAGTTAAGAGTGAAGTTAGATAGTAACTTTATTAATCAACTATTTTCTTAACCAAGACAGTTTAGCTATTACAGTTTTGTTCCATTCATTAAAAATATTTCTAATCTATATTTCTTCAGGTAAGACATTCCTGTCTACTATCAAATAATGTAATATGGTTTATCTAAAGGAGTTAAAAAATGTCATGAAAACATCTAATTCCCCTAAGCCCTCTTGTCTAAAATGGTATTTACATTGTTAAACCACTTATGCCATCACCTTTATCACTATCTGTTCTTCAAAGGCTTCTAAAGTCTTCAAATAGAAATCCTGAACCCCTTAAAACATTTGCTTCATTTGCCAGTAAAAAAAAAATTCCAAGCAATAGGGCTGGGAGTTGAAACTTGCCTTAATAAGGCAAACTTTGTCACAGTTCTTGTTGCATTTGGTTGTAGCACATGTGTGCTAGTGCCCATATGTTTTTCTGTATGTAAGCAATAGCTATTTTCTCTCTTGCATTATTTCCAATATATGAGGTCCTATTATGTGTGTTGTTAATATCAGTCTAAGAGTGATAAGGATCAAGAGACCATTCATACATAGTTTTCCTTTTGTGTCACTAACTCTGGTCACCGGAATTAGGATTCACTTCTTGAGAAAAAAAGTCAGCAAGCCTAGACTGGGTAGGATTTTTTTTCCAGATTTAATATATAAATCAATATCTCCAGTTTCTGGGCACAGCCCTTTTTGTTTGTAGCCATCTTTAGCAAGGACATCATTTCAGTGACTTTCCTTCATTGGCTCAATTTAAAAACATCATTTAGTAAGTGCTTATGAAAGTTCTACAAAGAGACAATTATTTAAAGATACAGCTGGAAATTGCAGATTCTCTATATCTGGATGAAAACAGTTTAGCTGATATACCAAACTTTACAACTTTCTAATTTATTTGAGTTCAGTTATAATTTCCAAAAGGTGTGTTTAACACAGGTATGCTGACAACATTACTTATAAACAAGATTTATTTGTAGAGGTTTCAGCTGAGTTGCAATGCTTTCTATTTCTTTTACTCTCTGCTTTTCCTCTGAGCAAAATAACAGTGGAACAAAATGGAAAGAATCACATTACGCATTGGAAAAATTCCCATAGGAACAGAGCAAGATTGGAAGTATGGACTTAAGGGACATATGCTTTCAAACCTTTTATCTAGAACAGCTCAACAGACTAAATCTGCTTTAAGAAAAATATAACTATTTAATTTGCCGTACAGAAAGGGAAGTTTTTCACAGGATTATCTTTTCAAACTTACTAAAATTTGCATTTACTTGGTTTATTTAATATAAATTAGCTTCAGTTCATAGCATTAAGCAATTATATACTTAATGCACCTGAAATCTTTGAAGTTATATTCCTTCATGTTCAATAGGCATTTTTAATGTAACACTTTTTAAAATACTGGGTTTTTTACATTTTAAGATTCCTGTATTTTCCTCTAGATCAGGGGTTTTCAGACCTCAGGGACCACTAAATTCATAATTTTAAATCCCATGGACTACTAACATGAATTTTTTAAAAAGATAAATAGTATTTAGTGCAGTATAAAAAATGCAAATAATTTTTTTTGCGGACCACCAAAATTTTCTCGTCGCTCACCACTGGTCCACAAACCACTGGTTGGTGACCTCTGCTCTAGATAAATCGCTCATCATTATTGGCCAACTTCAGTTCCTCGCCTAGATGGCAAAATTTTAATGTCCAATATTCAGATGCTAATTCCTGTAACTCCCGACTATTAGATTGATTGCGAGATCACCATGCATTTGAAAGTATGGTACCAGAATGGAAGGAGACAGACACGAGTTTCAGATAGAACATAAATGCCACCATATTTATGTAAGAAGCACCATCATTACTGATCACTTTTTATTTGGAGTCAAAAATGCCAGCAACAGAGCAGACTG